CAGCAAACACTGGTTTTTGGCCTTGACCCTTACATACAGAGATTTCTCCAGATTCTCTGAGTCTTTTAATGTTATTATGTACCGTAGATGATGAAAAACAAAAGTTCTTTGTTATTTTATGTTGGGAAACGTTATTCTTGAATTGTTGCACTATTTGATGGTGCAGTCTTTCACAGAGTGGTGAACCCCTCCTCATCTTTACTTCTGTAAGCCTCTCTCAGATGCTCTTTATACCCAATCATGTTACCGACCTGTTATCAGTCAACCACCAGGTGTTTTTTAGCATTACACAACTTTACCAGCCTTTTGTTCCCCCGTCCTGACTTTTTTGGAACGTGTTGTTGGCATCAAATTCAAAATGGGCAAATATTTTTCAAAAGAAACAATAAAATTCCTCAGTTTCAACATTTGATGTGTTGTCTTTGAAGCATTTTCAATGAAGTATAGGGTTTAAATGATCTGCACATCATTGCATTTTGTTTTTATTTACATTTTACACAGCATCCCAACCTTTTTGGAAATGGAGTTGTATTTTAAAATATAAATAAATTGTAATCCTAATATGTTTTTCAAGTGTAATATATGTGTTAATGCTAGAGACACAAAGATGGACATTTCTGTAGAATTACCCGTATGTTTATGTCCAAAGAAAAAGTCATAATTCAGTATTCAGTTTTAAATGAACATTTTCCAACCTGTCTTTTACGCCACAGGCTGTTTTTCATTACTGTTACTTTTAGACTTAAATATGAAAATTACTGAAAATGACCTCTGTTCTGATTGGCTGCCTCAAAAAGCAGTGCCAGCTGATGCTACTTATACTGAAAGCAAATCGGAGGCTTAAACTTCTATTCACTTAATAGGCAGTTAACTGTAAACATTTTGTTTACAAAAATAATGAATTCCAAACAGGACATTTTTGCAGTGTCATGTCCAGATAATCATGGGGGCGAATGGTATGTTTTGAAATCTTAATGTTTACATACTAAATACTTCAACTGGTCTATTAAAAATAAAAACATTCCAAGCTTAGTGCATCTCGACTTGCCTTTCAACAGCAAGAACAACATTCATTATTCAATTGCCTGCTTGATAGCAATGAAGTAAACAGAGCAATTACAGCTTCAAAACATGTTTTCATTGAGTGACTGATTACCTTTTTTTTTTTAAAGAGTTCTGCCTCTCTTTTAGAGAGGAAACATCCATGTAAGTCCTTTTTTCCCCGTTTCTGAGGAAATGGACTGATGGGGTCAATGCTTCATTTACTCTGTTTCACATCTGTACACACCAGCAAAAACACCGACACTTTGACATCTTACTTGTAACACAGGTTCAGACATCACAAAACGTTAAGGAGTCTCTTTATGCTGGCCAGAGAGGCTCTCTTGGGGCTGCCACCATAATTGAGGAGCATCCTTTAAAGAGACCTGCCAATTAGCTAACAGGATCCCCTGTCACATTAAACTCGAGCCACATCAGATATCCTTGTTAAGTGTGATTGATTGCATCTACAAAGACGTTCTGTATTATTAATATGTCCAGAGTGAGAATAAACGGTTATTTTTCTTACACACACAAGTCTCCCTCTCTAATTATGAAAACAAAAGTGATATTGACTAAAAATGAATGAGATATTAATTGTTTTAACAGAGCTTAATGTTTTTCTCAGGGACGACAATCACAATTCCTGGAAAATGCTAATGGGGTTCCACAGGGCTCTGTTCTTGGGCCAGTGCTTTTTGCATTATATATTAATGAGGTTGGAAAACACACTGAAAACTATATAATTCATTTTTATGCAGATGATGCTGCCATGTATTCTTTTGCTTCAACTGTAACAACAGTCATGGAACAGGTGAAAAACATTAGACACATCAGATATACACAACAAAATGTTAAAATTCTCTTTCGGATATAGTGAATGCCGGCCAGAGAGGCTCTCTTGGGGCTGCCACAATTATTAATTAATTAATTATTGAGGAGCATTATTTGAATACACCTGCCAATTATCTAACAGGCTCATTAAATAACATCAAGCTCAAATTAAATAAGATATCCTTGTTTGGTGTGATTGATTTTATATACAGAGACATTCTGCATATTATTAATATGTCCAGAGCAAGAGTACAACGTTATTTTTCTTTTACACACAAAAACTTCACAAACTATCTATTTCACAAACATCAAACGTGATACTGACTGAAAATGAATGAGATATTAATTGTTTTAACAGAGCTCAATGTTTTACTCATGGAAAACAATCACAATTCCTGGAAAATGCTAATGGGGTTCCACAGGGCTCTGTTCTTGGGCCAGTGTTTTTTACATTATATATTAATGAGGCTGAAGAGCACACTGAAAACTACATAATTAATTTTAATGCAAATACTGTCATGTATTCTTTTGCTTCCCCTGTAACAACAGTCATGGAACAGCTGAAAAACACCAAACACATCTAACTCATGTTACAGATATACACAACGAAATGTTAAAAAGTGTCTTCCGGCCAGAGAGGCTCTCTTGGGGCTGCCACTGTAATTGAGGAGCATCATTTAAAGAGACCTGCCAATTAGCTAACAGGATCCCCATCACATTAAACCCAAGCCACATCAGATATCCTTGTTTGGTGTGACTGATTGCACTCAGAGACATTCTGTATGTCATTAACATGTCCAGAGCGACTTCCTTCCTAATCAGATGAAGCTATAGGCAGTACATCTGTGTAATTTAGCACAGAAGATTGCTGTGAGGCTTATGGCTCCATAATTCAGTCTCAGTTCAACTAGTGCTGAAATAATTGTTGCTCAGGAAGTCATTATTGTGAAATGTGGGGTATAACTGCTTGAACAATGTATGGATAACCTGAATACTGCACTGCGGTTCAAACGTGTGGATACACTGTTTTCAACAATATGAACCCATTTAGGTTTCAGGTAAATAAGGAATATAAAGTCAGTATGCTAGCCTGTGCAATTTCATAGCTTTCTATATAGCTGTATACAATAACTGAGAAGCGGTATACTATCCATAATTAAGTTTAAAAACAAAGTAAGTAGATAATTACAGTCAGGGAGAGAAGGGCAAAGTGTAACATGGATATTTTATGTAGTTAAACAGGATCTAATATTCAAACAGTAACATTGTCTGCAAATTTTGACAGCAATCTGGCGGGTAGTTCTCGAGATTCACCCTGAAGACTGTTTTTGGACCATAAAAGTGTCTTTTTTCATCAGAAATGTTTCACTGAGTTGTGTGCACAAGTTTTCGTCACTCTCTCGTCTCTGTAGTGCTGTTTTGAAGCATATAAACAGCTCACAGGGGGGTTAGATTAACATGGTTACAACTAAGACCCTCCAAAGTAAACAATCAGAGCCGTCCACATCCCACCATTTAAAATAAAAAAAATGTTTTGGAAGTTTTTATGCACTGATTTATTGAAAATGTACTATAGATTACAGATTATAGATTAATGTTCTACTTAAATTTGGCATGTTTAACCCACGATTTTCCACTAATCAGTACATATTATCATCTATTTGGGTTGAAAAGCTTGTCTGCTCTACATAGAACTGAGTTAAATTCACTGTATTAATTTTTCCAAATGTCTCCATAACTTAAGCACTGTGATGTGAACCGAATCGTTCAGTGGTCTGGTATGAAATACCAAGAGTCCTAGAGTTCTAGAGTCAGAACTGTTCACAGTGGTGGTGATAGGAACCAGACGTCCACCTCTAAAAGCTCCCTCACAGAAAGTTACTACATGAAATGGTTATGAATTCACTGCCTGATGACTGAGACACTGTTTTATGATAGTTTTGTGATTTTGGCCTAAAACGTACTGTAATCAAATAATTTATATCCATTCATGGTGGAGGGATAACGTTGGGTGTTCTAAGGCAAAATAGTCCCCAGTAAAACGTATTATTTCAGATTTTCCACTATTTTCCATCATCAACATTCCATATAAACTCAGAAGACTCGTGTAGGTTCACTGGTGGTTCTGGATAGTAAATAAAATGTCTATATCTGTGTTGTAGTCATGGCGACCCCTGGTTCCTATCACCACCACTGTAAAGACATCTGAGTCTGTACGTTTCTCTAAAAGGGAGCTTTTCACACCAAACCGAGCTGAATGGCTTTGTTGACATCATAACCACTGAATTATGTACGCATTTAAAAAAATAAGAGTCCCTGTTTAAATGTCACTGGACAGCAGTAATCAGATTCTCATTAACTTAGTTCAAAATCTATGTGACGGACTGAAGCCCCACAGTCTGCAACTTTTACTCTGTTGAACTTTCTGAATCTACGGCGGATATAAAACCTTGCGAACCTTTTCTCTGCGTCTCAACTCAGATATGTTAAGTAACCTTCACAGAAAGATATAAATCAGCCTTTAGATGTACCCTTGGTCTGTTTCTCCAAAGGAAAGTCTATCGCAGTGTTTCACCAGCCTTCTAATCGCCGTGTTGAAAGAAAAGCAGTCTGGGTCTTCTCTTGTAACACTGACTGCTAACGGAACGAAGAAAAGGGACCACCAGACTCGCTGTGTACCTCCACAGTTCATCCAACATCTCCAGCAGGCTCATTTTCTCCCCTGTCACCACTCAGGTGGCCATAGAAACGTACAGTTCATTAAGACTATGTCAGCGGCGGTGAAATAAGAGTTGTGCGCCGAATGAATGTGGTTAATGAATGTCATCTGCGTTGACCTTCTCAGCCACACATTGCTGGGATCCCTGAAAGGGTTTCTATGGCGAAATTAGATCTGGCTAAAGCGTGAGGAGGAATAACGGCGTGAAACGAGGGCCTCCCTCTCTCCTCTCTCTCTGTGCTCTGAGACTCAACAAGCCTGGAGATGTTCCAAGACACTGTACAGGCGGAACCTGAATGAAGCTCGAACTGGGGCCCAAAACAAAAAACTGCAGACGTCAAAGGAAAGCGAAGTGGGTGTTTCACACAGAGCCAGGCCGTTTTTGTTAAAAGAGACTGATACTCACTGTAAAGTATGGTTCCGTGGGCAGCCCTCGTTTTCACAGTTAGGAAAACGCTCGCTGTGTCTCCGGCAGACGACGCCTCAAAGCTGGAATCCAGAGATGAGAGAGGCTGGAGCTCCAAGAAAGAAGAACCGCCGAATAAAGGGAAGAATATGGAGGTATCTGGAATGAAACAGAGGGGGCGGGGGGGGGCGGGGGTTGGGGGGGTGAAGTAAACAAATGCAAATCAAATATTTACGTGTTCCATCATGCCAGCTCCCGTTTTTATGTGCTGACTGTGCAGCGCTGGTGAAAAATGTTGGTTTCGACTGTAATGTTGACATACTGAAAATTAAATCGTGCGAACCGAGTAGGCCGCATGCACACACCACGCTCTTTCACACATGCTTACTTTTCCTCTAGCAGATAAACAAGCACATAACGCAGTACCTCTGCATTAATGTTTTTATTCGTTTGGTTTTCAGAGGGAGGGCAGCATCAGGTTTTGCGTGAAGAGACTTTGCTACAGCTCATAATACAGTGAAAACTGGAGCTCGCTTAAGAGCTATCATCAAAACAAAACTGACACACTGGTTATGGGAATATTAACCGGCCCAGGGCTTTATTTTTAAGAGAAATATGAAAAAAAAAAACTATTAAAGCAATATGTATAATTTGTATTATTTCAGATAGGCATTTAACAGTTCAATATTTAGTATTTCTAGGACACTTTAAATAATAATTAATTAAGAAATTGGGTCAAGAAATATCCTTAAAAGCACAATTATCAACATATATCTGGACGTGGTCACTCAAGTGAAGTGTTATTTATTTTGGCACTGAGAATCTCAGTAAAACAGCACTTTTTCATCTTAGAAACTGTGCCAGGTTTAAGGCTAAACCAGCTTATCCAAAAAGAGTATAGACAAACTGCTGAACCCTATCCCAGTGGTCACTGGGCAGAAGCACTCTGGACAGGCCGCCAGTCCATCACAGGGCAGATACACACAGAACAAAAGAAACAGTGAAGCTGAATTTAGTGTATTCCCTCCCACAGCGTCTGGCACCTTTAGCTTAGGAGTTTAAAACTTAAAACTTAGCTTAAAACTCTTTTACTTTAGCTTTTATTTTACCTTTTAGCATTTGTTGGCATGTCTGAGATTTTTATGAGCACTCGTTTATTTTAATAGTTTTACTTTGTTATTTTTTGGCTATAATTCCATGTTTTCCTATTTCACTATATTATCTGTTTATTTTAATAGTTATTTGCATTAATTTTCATTTTCTTTTACATTTTTCTTTTTTCTTTTTCAACTTTATGTTGGCTTTAATTTGCTTTTCTTTTTGAAAAATGTATGAAAGGTGCTACAGAAACATAGCCATTATTTGAACATCTATAATGTTAACAAATGTTAAGAAGACCCATTTTGTCAAGTTTCAACAAAAATTAAACCACCTTGGGATCTACAACATTTTATATCCATTTTATTGAAATAAGGTTTCACTATTATGTAAATATGTCTCAGTATATGCTGATATACTTGTTTAGGTTAAAAATATAATGTAAACAAAAACACAGACTTACTTTGCTCTGCTTTAATCTTTAGCTCAGCTATAGCTGCTTTTCTCACATCTCCAGCAGGAAACTTTTCCTCAAAAGTAGAACAGTTTCTTGTAAAATGTCTCTCAACGTTCGACTTTTTACGAGGCTGAAGTCGCTTCTCATTCGCCAGCCTCTCATTCGAATGTTCCCGTTCCACCTTAAATGGTGCCTGAGACGCTAGAATGTAACTGCTGCACCATTTAAGGTAGAACGGGACAGTTCGAATGAGAAGCCGCGAATGAGAAGCGACTTCAGCTTCACGACTTTTCAGTGTTTCAGTTTCTCACTGCAGATTAAACGTATCAGGAAACCAGCTGGAGTGATTATAAACACTAATCAGTCCATTCATCTCCAAATTATCGATGTTCATCTTAAATCTCTCTCTTTGCCGTTTCATTAGCTACTAGCTAGGTGAGACTGTGGTCTGGGTTGCTATGGTGACCAGCAGTCTGTGCTGATCTTCAGGGTTAAAGGGTGAATTAGCAGTTCTACATTAACTCCAGAGTTTAAGACCATTTATTGTTAAACTGTGTTGAACGATCAGCAGAGCTTTATTTTACTGTAAAGGAGGATTATTTTATTTTTACCTACAAATCTAATTCAGCTGTGGAGCCACAACAGGGCAGTAACAGAGCCGCATGTTGCTGACCCTGATACAGTCCTGTGCAAACGTTTTAGCTGCTAAGAAAGCTGATTAAAGCAGTAAAAACGACATAGAAGTACAACAAAACAAAGAAAAAATACAGTAAAGACAGGAATTTTGTATTTTTAAAAAACTCATTAATATCTTAGTTGGAAGAATATAGTCAGAAGAACGCAGGATTGGTTCCTGACTTCTCAGTGCACTTCAGCCACCACATGGATTTACACCCCATCAGCAGCACCTGATTTAATGTAGTGAAGGGTGGATGAGACAAACCAGGTGCTGGACGGTGACTGTAAACACTGGACTTCCTCATATAGAGATCTGAAATGGTTAAACTGGCACACTCACCCACATCAAATCACAATGAAGTGTTCGTTTTTGTTTTTTTTGTAATAAAGATCAGCAGCTTCATTAACTCAGTAAACGCCCAACTCTGAATACAAAATCTACTCTCATCACTGAAGATTTGACTGTACTGTGTTTATCAAGACAGCCCTGTTTGAACTCACATCCCTGTATATTTTCTTCCACTGCAAGCTGGCCGTATCTCCAGCAGCAGCCGCGAGCCAGCTGAGGATTCTGAGAGGCAGGCGTCCTCTGACAGTCAGCCCAGCAGCAAAAGCCAGAAGGACCTCCATCAAGCCCTGCATGGGGCCACTGTTATCTCCCCCAAGGATGACAGATCCACGTGACTTTGGGGAAGGAGGCTAGAGGAGGTCTATGTCGGGGGTTCTTCTATGGCAGTAATGATCTGTTAGCTTTTACACAAAGGGCAATGTATGCAGAGCCATCATGCCGCTCTATCGGGAGATGTCACAGGGTCTGAGCTGGGCAGCCCAAGCGGAACGAAAGGCCTTTTTCCCCCCTCCAGCATGCTAACCAACCAGACTGAGCCAGCCAAAGACATAAACAGGACTTTACAGCAATCTGCTGAAAGCTCATCTCTAACTGCAGAGCCGAAAGATGGATGAAACACATAAAAAAACAAATAATACGATTTATTATTGGAAAATGTACAAAACTGAGGGTCTTCACAGGCAAAGATGCAGAGTTCTGACAGAGTTTTTCCACCCTAAATAAATAAGAAAGAGTCACATTTTCAGTGCATGCTATCCCCATGTGTGTTTACATGGCTGCTATGTGACCCCAATGGCCTCCTGAAGTACAAGGAACAATATTTCTTCCTCAGCGGCAAATATAAAAACACCCGGCTCCACTGTTCCTCCTAATGCTGAGAGCTTAGCTGTGCTAGTTCTAGTAGCCCACTTACCCAGTTAGAGAACAGCGGTGCTTGACGTGTGGAGGACACTGCAATCTTCCACCATTCACCCTAGACATCTACACCACCTGCTGCAAACTGTACACTGTACAAAATTTACTCTGTAAATCTACTGTAACGTACTGGAGTTTCCAGCTAGTTACTGTAGCTCACTTTTACCACACATACAAAAAAATGGGCCCAAAATGGCAAAACATTAGGCTTTTAGTGGTCTTAACAACAAATCATTAAACACACAGATAAAGTAAGTTAGTGTGGGATATTTTTTCCTTTTGAGTTCTTTGAAATTTTGTGTGTAAATTTGCAGACAGTCTTTTACAGAAAGAAGAGTCAGTACTGATCCACTCAGCACTGACGGCTTCAAACAGCTGAAAAACACTGCAGAGCTAGTTTAAGTTTAATGTGAGACCAAATATTCTCTATATAGTAAATCTGGACCATCCATAAAAACCATTATATATTGGGCTTGGCCCGTTTTTTTCAGGAGATTGTACTATAATATTTATTTACAGTAATGACATATTGTACTGTGTTTTTAATTTAATTCAGTACAAAACTGTAATTTTACAAGATTGTATATTGACAACTTGGTTTAAAAACACACATCCTCTGTTCTGTATTTCATACGTATGCGCATATATATTAGACTTTTAAATATACATACATTTCATAAAGAACTGTTTCACTTCAGTTTTTCAAAACTATAAACAGCTGTTCTTTCATAATCTTGGAGGCGAACATGCTCCTCCAATCACACTCACATTTAAGCTTTAAACTGAATGTACACCACCGTTAGCTTGGTGTCAACATGAAATTCGCACTACAGTCGCTGGGGTAATCAGATACTTACAAAGAAAAAGGACTTAATGTAACATTTCTACACTGAAGTCTACTATATAATGACATATATAACAAATACAAAAAAGTTTGTTGGTACAGGTTATGCTAGGATGCTATAAGCCTGGGCTAAAGTTAACTTACATTATCACTATTTTAGACATAAACAAAGTCCTTACAGGAAAGTCTGTTCACTCTGTTCACTTTGCAACACCGCTGGGCAGTTATTTTGAGCCACACCAGACCAGGCACCTTTATCTGTGAATGGAGAAAGACCACAATACTGCATTTACTCTGGCTGTATTCCTGCAGCTTTGTGAGCTCTTTTAATATTTAGGTAATAAAAAGAAATAAACAAAATTAAACCCTAGTGAAACTACAGCACGGCATCAGACAATGATATCGATGCAGATGAAATTGCATATTTCAATGTACACTAACTGTGATCTTACAGTAGCTACACAATAAGGCCTCCAGTAAGGATACAGTATAACCTGCCTGTACTGTAAATGTTTTCCCAGAACTCAACACTGCACAAAACTGTCGAACGCATTTAAACTATCACACTGATTGCTAGTTAATAAGCCTTTACCAGCTGTGATATGCTGTCAGCTGTTATTGTTAGTAAACGTGAGCCAGACTGACTGCTCAACTGTGAGGTAAGCAATCGACTGGCGTGTTTGTGTAACGTTCAATAACGTTTTTTGCCTTTGGTTGATGCTCATGAGAGCTTTAGCTATAATGAAGGTGCTTGTTGGTGGTTGTCATGCTCACTATAGCGATCTCTCTGGGCCTTGATATTTCCTAGCTGGCTCCCT